CCCCAAAACCCCAAAACCCCAAAACCCCAAAACCCCTTAAATATGCAAATAATTAAATTTTTTAAACTTAAAAATAGAGTACTACGATTCAAATTTCCCAAGAATTGCAATTAGCTCTTGGAGGTCTTTCTGAGTCTCTTTGTGAGGCGAATCATTTAAATGAGAGGTATTCTGCTCGATCAAGCTCACCTCCTCACTATTTAAATTGATCAAATCTAAATATGAGCTGCTTTGATTCCGGTCATCAGACTCAATAGTCTTATGCACTTTTGGGAGATTTTGAACCGAATCTCTCGCTCTTGGGAGATGGAGTGGACTCTAAATGAACTTAGTAGCATAAGCTTACTTCAAGAGGAGTATCATTGTTCACAAAATATTCATGAAGGTTCTTATTCTTATGCCTGACTTTGTTCTGCAAAGATTGCTTATAAGCCTCATCAGCCTTAGTCTCTTCAACTAGGATAATATTGGGGCTTATAGACTCATATTTAGGATTAGTAGTCTTTGAGCCATCAGTAGTGTTCTTGCCTCATTTATTTAGAAGGATTTTGAGCTGATTTGTAGTAGCATTCTTGCTGGAACTTCCTCTTTGAAGTACTCTTAAAATCTCTTATAGAGCTACCTTGGGTAGAAGCTCCTGAGCAGTTATTAACAGGCAATAAGCCGCTTGTGTGATGGTTATCATTTAATAATTTCTTGGCTATTAAGGAGTTAACTTGATTTTCATTCTTAAAACTCTTCTTAGAGCGAGATCCTGAGCTTCTGTCTGAGCTGGAATTTTTGCTCTTATCATTAGTTCCATAAGCAAACCCAGGAATGTTGAAATACGAATTGGTCTTCGCATGAGCAGTTGATTTTATCTGGGTCAAGATTGCGTTCCTGGATTTAGTAGATACTCCCTAAAATTAAAAATTTGTATCTACCTTTCCATTTGGAAGAAGATTCAAAAATTTGTCAGCGCTTTTCTGATTTGTCTGGACCTTAAATAATCCCTCATTTCGAGATTTCTTTGATTTCTGTGTCATCTTTGCAAGAAAAGGACTGACACTCGGAAAATTACCATTTTTAAAATAGGATTGGCTACTTGGAGTCAAACCAGCATGCATAAAATCTCCAAGTTTCAAACCTGATTTCGATTTTAGCTGGTGATTATTTGACGAAGATGACTTATACAATCCGTTACGAGACTTTGAGGATGACCTTTTCACTGAACTTTTGCCCAAATATCCACTAAACCTGTGGTTATTATTCCTTGAAAATTTATTTCTTTGATCCTTTTCTGCTCTTTTTAGATCCTCTAGAGTCACTTCTCTGATGTTTCTCTGATGCATTAGACCTCTTGCTTTTATGTCTCAACTTATTTTTTTAAAGAAGAGGCATCACTATTCCTCTTGACCACATTGTCCTTATTGATACTTTTGTTGGCTGAAGTTGTTCCTGAGAGTCCATTATCAGAAGCTTTGGAGTCAGGTCCTGCTCCAAATGTAAACTGGCTTGTCTGCGCAGAATTAGTGTACTCATTAGCGTACATATTTGAGGTGTATTGGTTACTATCATATACACAGATTTTAGGCTTTTTATTGCTACTCTTACGACTACATTTGACACTCCCTCCCTTGTTGCTGCCTAATGAGTTTCTATCTTTCTTAAGAGTTGGAGTTCCACCTGAATCTATCGACCTTTTAGGACCATGAGCCCCAATAAGGTTATTGAACATAGATAGCTTAGATAAAGGCTCAGAAGCAAGGTAGTTAGAATATGTTGCCTTGTTATCTCGAGCCGACCTATTATTTTTGGACTTGTGCATCTTTTGCTCCTCTTTCCTGTTCCGACAGGAATAGGATTTTGATTCTATATTTCTCATAGATTTGCATGATTTCAAACTTTTCTTTGATTTACAGGTATCATACACTCGAGAAGAGGGATACCCCATCCAATTTCCTGTGTGTATCGAAGTGGGACTATGGTCTAAGTCATTGATCAGAATTTTAAGTTTTCCCTTTTCATTCTTCAAACTCCGTTTTGAATTACAGCTTCCATCTAAATCAAATCAGAAATTGCCTTGGAGAATAAAACATTAAGGTGATTTTTATCAAAAGATAACTCATACTTTTATGAAGCTTAGAGGACTGTCTCCTGGCACTCTCAGTTCCTTTGCTTGCTCTCCTCGAGAGAAGAGGCGAAGTGGAGGTTTTCTTTGTCTTCTTATATTTTCCTGATCTCGCTTTAAAAGTTCCAATCTTAGGTTTACCAATACAAGTCCCTGGACGATTATTATGAGCCATTGAGCTATTTTTAGATGTCTCGATTGTAATTTTATTTCAAGCTTGGTTCATATACCTGAAGTTGCTCGATCATTTCTTATAATCATCCTTAGCGAGACTCAGGCTGGAGTTTGCTCCCGATCTCTTCTTACTACCTCATGAAGATTTTCTTTTCCCCTCTTTTAAGGTACGCTTCGATTTCTAAAGTTCAAGTTATGGGACAAGAATCTTGTATTGAACTCCAAATATACAGTTTATTTAGGTATAATTCTCTAATACCAAATTTTATTTGTGCAGATTAATTCTCAGCAAAAGGGTCAGGATAGGCTTATCAACCGAGTGTTATTAAAGGAAGGAATTTAAAGAAACAATGGAAAATTATGTTTGTATAAAAATTTACTAAAAGCCTACCTTTTGATTAGAGATCCTCTGGTTCATCATCGAACCAGCATGATGCTTGGTTGAACGAGGCTGGCCAAAATGAGAGTCCATACTTTAAATAATATTTCAAAATTATGAAATGTATTTGGGGTTTTGGGGTTTTGGGGTTTTGGGGTTTTGGGGTTTTGGGG